TGACTGTTCTAATTGCTTTTTCTAATGCTAGATTGTCCTCCTTTGGTATTTTTTTCTTGTATTATTTTTGAGATTGATCCTATTAAGTTCTTATCTTTCAGTATGTCATCCCCAGCTTTGAAAGCAAAGTCATTTGTTGTCAGCTGCAGCTGAATTACCTATGCATTAATTGCCTTTGTAGGTCCCTGAATATCTTACAGACTTTTTTTTTCTTTCTATGACATACTTTTCTTTGAAAAATATTAAGCACCATTTACTTCAAATAGCTTGCTTGGATTTTTGCTGCTTGCTTCTCTGAGCTTGTCATTAAACCCCCAAGCTCTGCTGATGTTATTGCCAGTTTGCCCAACACATATTATAAAATTAACAGATTTGAAACTGCTCACAAGTTGTCAGTGTCAGGTTCTGTAAAGATTAACTTGCTCCTGACCCTCTTTCTGCAGTGCTTTCTGTTGAGGACACACAAGGGTATATTTTTTGTGCTGGCCTGCTTGACAGCCATTGCTGATATATTTCCTGTGCTGTTTCCTGCACTGGGTTTAGCAAAGAGCAATAAGGAGGCACGTGACAGAGATATCTACTAAATAGGGTTTAATGACTTCTCTTACACGTTGCAGCGCAGCTTATTACACAAAAAGCACCTTTGAAGTTCCAGTGCCTCTCAGGCAAGCAGCCTCCCTTTCTCCGTAGGCTGCAAATAAGGTATGTCAGTGAGCACTTTGTGTCTCCTGCTTCCTTCCTAGAGCAAGCACTATGGCTCAGGCACTTCTGAATCTTGTGGGGCTGCTGCTGGTACCTCCCAGGACAGGAGCAGAGAGCAGTCCTGCTCCTCCTGACGCAGAAACCACAGTGGCTTCTGTCTGCCTTCCCGGCACAACCAGCCAGCCTGGTCCTAAGGGCACTGTCACAGCCATCTGTATCTGCCTCTGACAGGCAGCAGCCTGATTTCCAGCTTAGCCCACTGACTGCTGGATAATAAAACTCAAGAAAGGCACGCACGGCCCTTTCTGTGCCAGCTAGACAGACGCTACATATCTTTATATGTTATTCTTTCCAAAGGGGCATGGGGAAGATTTGCATCCCAGGACCACACTTCCTCCATATCCCAGTGCTTTCAGGGATGCTAATTCAGGAGTCAGGAGATCGGGCTTCTTTTGCCGCGGGCTTCCCATGGGACAGCCCTATGCTTCAGCTTCTATGTGCTAAGTTACAAGTGACAGCATTTTCCTCCATCAGCTTTCCAGGCACAAGGGAAATACTGAACAGAAGAAGAGGTTGAGGAACGTAGAGACTGCGGCAGCGGTAGCCATCTCTAACGGAGAACAGAAAGAGCCTTCCTTTGCTGGGGCTGTGCTGGGTGGGTCAGTACCAGTGGAGATGCTGGCTGTTATTTGGCAAAGGATGCTCTAAACCATGTAGCACAGCAAGGGGATGGTGATGGAAACCTTTATAGAAAACATTTCACAAAATGTAAACAACAGGTCTTCTACACAGAGATAAAGATGGAGATTAATGCTTGAATTATCCTGGATAATTAGTGTAGCAGGTAATTATTTAAAATCTGGCACATCTGTGAATACATCACTGACTGAATTAGAAAAATCCTCACAAGTGCTACAGTAAGATGGCTTCAGCAATCCCATGGGGAAGTCTTTATGGGATATTAATTCTTACTTCAAATGGCAGAGATTTGCAAGAGGATTATGTGGCCAGTGTGACACATTCACATTGTGACAATAAGTGATACAGGTTTTTTTCTCACAGAGAAGCCAAGTGCCAGTTTCTTTGAGTTCATGTGTTTTTTGAGCTTGAGGACTCGGCCCTCTTTAGAAATAGAGTGTTTTATAGCTGAAACAATGAGCAGTGCTTGAAAGAAAATGGTGACAAGAACACGGGCATGAGCAACAGGAGCTCAAAGAGAAGACAGTGAAACCCAAACTTGGATTGAAATTCCTAAAGCAACAAGGTCACTCTTGCAAAGCTTAGTGGATATATTTCTTTAGCTTATTGCAAACGTTACCAAAAAGTTGTCACCAAGAACACTGTATGCGACAGCACAGGTCTACAGGATCCTGTCCTCGCTGCGCAGTGGGTCTGCGTCGTGGTGCATGCAGTGGCTGATGCAGTGGCTGTAACTCAGGAGCACTTCAGGTCTGAATTGGATATCGAGTGACTGCTGAAGTCTGGTACTTTTGGTATTCAGCACAGGGAGGAGAGTTAGGAAAGCTGTAGATTTGTGTGCAGGTTTCACTGCTTACAGCACTAAAGAGAGCTCTAACCAAGAAAATGGTGGCTTCCTGGCACACAAAGACATTCTCAGTAAAACTGAAATGTCTCTTTGCTATGTATTTCCAACACAAAACTGCTGCCAGGAACTCTCATCTGATTTGCTCAGGTTCTCAAAACATCAAGGTGAATAACTGAGATAGGCTGAGTTTGTAAACTCTGGGGAATTCACAGCAGCAGCAGGAGAGAGGAAGAAAAGATACTTTGAGCTTTGTACAGAGGGTCTGTCGTTTAAGGGAGGTTATATCGCACTTCTTGACTGAGACTGCACAGGAAGAAATGGAGCTGGAGCTGAAGCCAGCAGCCACCAGCCTCACCCACAGACACATTTACATCAACAGGGATCTGTTCAGACCAACCACAAAACTTCCCACTAAGTTTCACAGCGCTGCCCTGCACCTGCATTCAGCCCCTAGTCAAGCCCACGTAGTCCCCTTGAAGTATTTTAAAATGAAAGAAGAAAAAGCACTCAGCAGAGAAAAACTGGTTTTAGCCCTTTTCGTCCTTCCTTTCCCAGAAAGCACTTTGCAGTCCCCAAGCTATAGATTTGGCTTCTCCTCCTCTACAAACAGCATCCAACAGCCACCGCTAAATCCCCTCTGCCCGTGCGGTCCCTTGGCTCACCTGGCATGTGATGCCAGTTGTTCCTCCTCCTTCTTCTGAAGACTCTCAACTGAAGTTACCCAGATAGGAAATGTTCAGGTAGAAAGATGGGCATGAGGGAGCCTTTAGGGTTGAGCAGGGAGCAGCCAGTCCTGCTTCTGGAAGAGGAAGAAGTTGTTAGGAGCAGTCATTAGGCAGAACTTGTCCTGGGGGGTGGCTGTGGAGCTCTAACCTGGAATTTGGGAAGGAGGAACAGCAGCTGCATGGCACCAGCTTGTCCTGCTCTCCTCCAGCTCTGCTGAGCTTGCTGCAGTCTGCAGGTAGAGACAAATGAAGAAAAAATGAGCAGGAAGTTGGTTGAGGGGTTTTTGGTAGCAATTATTTCTACTGCTGCAAACTGCATTTTTTTTACTACCCAGAACTTCATTTCCACCAGCATCAGCTTCTACTACTTCATGGGGATGCTGCAATTTCTCTGCTTACAGGGTCTGATAATGTATGAGGCAAAAAGGGGCAGGCTGCTTCTCTGAGTCTACCTATGGCTTGAAAACAGCCTTTCAGTAAGCTGGCAGGGGACAGCAGTGCTCTGAGCTGATTCAGACCATCTGCAGAGACTGATGTGCTCCCAGGCCACTGAAGCAGTAGTTTTAAACTGAGAGCTGCACGTAATTTGAATATGCTACTAAAATGGAGTTCAGCTGCATGTCACTGTCAAAATGTGAGTGTATTTTACCCATGTCAGAGCACTGGAGCATAGCCAGAAAGCCAGTGTAGTAATTTTTGGGGGATGATGTTCAGCCATATTTTATTAAACTCCCTGTCCTGCACTTCTCTGCTTGTTTCTGCAAGCTGCTGCCCTGCAACCCCACATACCTCACTCAAGAGGGCTGCTTGCTCCAACCTGGTTGAAATCTCCTTAGAAACTTAAAATCCTGCATTGCCCTTTTTTCCTACCTTGTGCCATTGCTGAGATCATCACTGCTTTGGTTTGATCTCATGTCAGATAGCGTAATGCTGAACAGCTAAAATGTTATAACTGTCAGCTTAGCACTATACTTGGCAATGATAACAATATACAGATTTACCATTTAAATTCAGTGTACTATTGTAAGCCATGTTCAGTACTGCTTGGCTTGAAGACTTCAAACTATTTCCTTCCTCTTCTGTCTAATGCCCGGATTTCTGTAGAACAAACAAAACAGTGGCATGTTTTAACTTTAAAACCAGCACAAACCAGCACAAAATCCATTTTGAATAGCTGCAATATCTGAGTCCAGATGTTGAAGGGAATGTGCAGTTTGGTACTGGGCAGAACCACCTCTTGACTCCAGGGACTGGACTGCAAACGGCTTAGTTTGGGGATCACCATTTGGCAGTCTGTAAGGTCAACACCCTCCGTATTCCTTTCCTGGCGATTGTGTGTGCCCATCTGTGCAGCTGTAAAACAATGCTATTAACTTCCCATTTTTACTTTGTTGGGATGAAAAACACTAGAGCAGAGCAAGCTAGCATGGTGATAAGATAAATGAAAAAAACCCCTCAAAACCCCGAAGAGTAAAAAAATCCTGTTTTGTGTAAGAATAATGCAGAGGCAAGTTTTAAAATATAGCGTGCATAAAATGTGTCACTTTTTTGTAAGAGCTGAATTAATGCATGTTATAAAAAACAAATAAACTAAAAAACACTATGAAAGATCTTTTTCCAGGGGAGAATGTGAGAATTCATTGGATTTGGACATGAGAAGCAATGGTTTGTGATAATAGAAGTGCTAGCAAAAAGCAACATAAGAAATGTGTTTTCTTGCTGCTTGTCTTGGTGAACAAATAAGCACCCTCTAAAGGACGAAGCCAGGCTTTAGCATGTGGTTGTTGGGGTTTTTTTGCTGAACATCGCTATCATCTCATTTCTCAGGGGTTGGTATTTTTACACTCTAGCTCCATTGCACACTGATTTTTTTAAGTACACCCCCAGTAAGTGAGATGGAGGAAGCAATACTGCTTTGCCTGCAGCTGGAGAAATCCTTTAGTGTTCACATCACCTCCTCAGCTGTGGGCATTTGCTCCAGGAAGTCCTGTCTGAAGCTGCTGATATTGTCTCTCCTTCTCTGGTAGGATCATGCAGATATTGAGTGGAAGTTCGCACGGACAAAGCTCTGGATGAGTTACTTCGATGAAGGTGCCACTCTGCCCCCTCCTTTTAACATTGTCCCGAGTCCCAAGTCAGTCTGGTACCTCTGCAAGTGGATTCACAATCAGCTGTGCCCAGGCGATGACTCCGACAATGAACAGAAGAGACATGAAAACCTCAAAACATTCACAGTAAGGAGCTGCATGGTTTTATACTTCATTTTTCGAGGGTGCCTGTGCACGTTCAGGATCCCAAGGGCCACTGCTCTGCTGATGCAGTAGAAGGGCGCTGGATCATAACTTGCCAAGAGCCATCAGAAGCTCTAAACAGGACCAGACAATTAACGTATCTGTGCCTTTCTCTTTCCAGGAACGGCATGCTGACAACCTGATTCAGAACCAACATTACCAGGTAAATGCTTGAGCACATGACAATTTTAATTGCTGTTTCTTCTTCCTGCTCATTCTCTAATGCCTCAATTCTTGCTTCTAGCATACATTCTGGTAAGCGTAGGTGCTCTAAGATTTTGCTTATCATGATTAAAACATTTCCTCATTAGAGGCGGGATGGTTCAGTAAATCACGCCGAGTCTTTCACCACCTCTGAAGTAGGAGAAAACTTGCCAGGTATCAGTCTGGCTGCTGAGGTCAAAGGAGACATCCTCATTGCCATCAGAAGGACCCGCCTGTCACACCATCCTGATTGAAACTGTTCCTGCAGCATTTCTACAAATCTTCAATTGCTCCTCTCCTGTTCTTTTTTGTAAACATCCCTAACTCAAACAGTGCTTGGAGTTCTCTTTTGTTTTGGACAGCTCATGAATAAGGACCGGTTCCTTTGTTGAATTTTACTGGTTTTGTTTTTTCTCAGCCTGCCTGTCATCAAGTACTCATTACAGCCAACCTACAAAAGGACAAAACTGTATTAAAAGAACCAGGTTCAGTACTTGAATCCAGTGTGATGTATTCTGCTTGCATGCTGGAAGGGAAAAAATTCTCCAAATGTTAGGTGGTACGTCAGGCTGTACTGTCAAAAGCCATTAGTTATTTGTCATAAGACATCTCCTGCTTTTTTGAAGAGTGCTTTTATGTGAAGTTGATATTTAGCATAGTCAGCTTTGACAACAGACATTTGGTGCTTTGACTTCACACCACAGTTTACAGGTACTAACAGTGGGATCTCTCAAAAAACCTCCCAGAAAAACCTTGGTGTAGCATTTCTAGTGGTAAGTGATTTTCTTAGAGAAAATCACAGAGGCAGGTCAGCCACTGTCAGTGAGAACTCACTGAAATGCAGTGAGAACAGAGGCAGCAGTTGAATCACTCGTATTGTTTCCTATTCCAGGAGGTGATAAGAAATCTGGTGAAAAGATACGTTGCGGCAATGATAAGAACTTCTAAAACCAATGAAGGTTTAACTGAAGAAAACTTCAAGGTAATTTATTATTCCTTAATAATAATTTATTGTACTAACTCAAGTAGCCACTTGCAGAGCTCGCACTAACTTGTTAAGATGATTTGTAACCTGCTCTGGAAATATTCCTATTACTGGAGCTAGGAATATGCATGATGTGCGTGTGGGAGTTTCTTGAGCAGAGAATATTACTATTTGAGTGTCTTCTCATATGATCACCTCCTAGATTTTAATACACAACATGCTCTGTAGACAACAGCATTGGGAAATGGCAGGAATAAAGTGTCTGATTTGAGTGATACCACATTCCTACCTGCTCTGGAAATATTCCTATTACTGGAGCTAGGAATATGCATGATGTGCGTGTGGGAGTTTCTTGAGTGGAGAATATTATTATTTGAGTGTCTTCTCATATGATCACCTCCTAGAATGGCAGGGATAAAGTGTCTGATTTGAGTCGATATCACATTCCTAATCCTAACACAGACAAAGCCAAAGGAATAGTCTGGGTTAATGGATACGAAGAACACTTACCAGCAAAGTTAAAGTTAACTAAACAGGATTCCTGCCTCATTTCTAAATTTCAGCTATGTTTTCCTTCTTCTGTAACTGTCTTATTTGACTTTTTTGGGGGGAGAGTGGATGATCAAGAGGGCCGGTCCCACAGCCTCTGGAGACAAAGATCTAATGAGGTCTCCATTTCTCAGGATTACCAATACATCTTTCTTTTTTCTTGTCACTGAATAATGAAGATGTATGTGGTATTCTTGTGAGCATGATTTGCTATCAGCCGTTTGCAAAGCTCTGAAGAGCTCTCCCAAGGGAACGTGATCATTCTTTCATGTCACAGATAAAACTGCTGAGCATAACTCATTTCTCCCCTTGCCCTAGGAATTAAAACAGGACATCTCAAGTTTTCGCTATGAAGTTCTTGACCTCTTAGGAAATAGGAAGCCCCAGAGGAGAAGTTATTCTACCAGCAGCACAGAGGTGTCCCAAAAGGATGAACCAAATGAGGATGGTGCTGGAGAAAAATCCAAAGCCAAGAGCGTGTCTTTCAATGTAGCCAACAAAAAAAAGGACTTCAATGTATCTGCTCTAATTAAAACTATGTCTGGGATCGATATGGTGGAAGAGAAGCCAAAAAGCAATGGGATCAGTAAGCGCTCCTTTGTCCGAAATGGAAATAGAGTTCAGAGACTTTCCAGCTCCAAGAAGGAGTCCTTTAAGAGACTGGGGCTGCTTTTCTCCAAGATGAATGGACATGTACCCGAACCAAATTCAGAACCCATGTACACTATTTCAGACGGAATTATTCAGCCACACTACATGTGGAAAGACATTAAATATTCTCAGATGGATAAAGAGAAAGACGGGAATTGTTCCAGAAGTGAAATTAACCTCAATGAGGTGGACTACAGTGGGAACAGGAGACTTACAGGACAGAGCAAGGAGTGCCCTGTGGTTTGTACCAGCTCTCTTCACTGTGCTTCCAGTATTTGTTCCTCTAATTCCAAACTTATAGACTCGTCAGAGGATGTGTTTGATTCCTGGGGAGAGGCTTGTGACTTGTTCATGAACCAGTGGAAAGATGGGCAGGAGGATCACGTAACAACTCGGCTATAAGTAAAGCTATCTTAACACTTGCTGGAAAACTTAGCCAGTTATTTGTAATTGTTTGCTCTCATCTTTCTGTCCACAGGTGAAAAAAGTATAAAACTACTTATGTTAGCCTATTTTATAGCCATCTGCACCTTTTTTAGTTTACTTTTTTTTGCATTCACTAAACTAAAGGTTTTACCATGTATAAGATCTATAAACCACAGGAATCCCTTTGAATGCACTCTTAGTCTTCAGACCCCACAGACTTCAGACACGCTGGTGGCGGAGTAAAGGATTTTTCCAGCGCTTTCATCACCATCTCTCCGTTGCTGGGTTATCCCTGCTGCTACCCAACACCATCGGCTCTGCATTCTGCTCAGTTTTCCTTGTCAGCACATCCAGCTGGTGACCAGGGGCTTAGCAGGACACTGAGAATCATATCTGACTCTTTTCAGAAAGGTTTTCAACTTATAACTGGCTTTTTGTTTTCTTTAAGCAATACAACCTCCAATTCTTTCAGTTGTTTTTTCAGGTTATTTATTATATTAATATTGTAAACTGTTACTGAATAAGAGAAACCCCTTTGATCACCCAGCTAGGACATGCTATGATTTGATTATTTACCTAATTCCCATAAGAAATTGCCCCTGGAAGGAGCAGAAGAGCTTTCCAGTTGGGGGGGCAATGGAAGTCAGCACCTGGCCTTGCTACCAATTCTGCATAGATGAACTGACCCAAAACCAGCTGCTTGAAACACAAACCTCAGTGTGGTCCTCCTGTTTCTAGTGGGCTGAACCAAAACCCCAGCCCTGAGCTGTGCCCTTACACCTCACCCCTTGAGCTGTCTCTATTCTTGGGAATTCTTAATCTTACTGCCACTGCTACATTCGCTTTTTGCTGCCTCTCTGATGGATGTCAGGCTTTAGGAAGCAAACCATTCTCCTGGTATATGGCAAGTGCTGAGAGAGATCATCCTCCCTGGGCCCGTGAGCTGCATTTCTGAAAAGCAGCCTAAGCAATAGCAGCTCAGGCTGCATCTGACAGCCTTGAAAGTCTCTGCAGGTGCTTTTCTGAGGTGCAACAAAGAGGAATGCAGCAGTGGCTGTTATCTTTTATTTCCCCAGTTGTGGTAGTGTCTGCACAGGGCCTGGCAATGTCACTGCTTCTGTCCTAAGGAGCACCAGAGAATAAAGAAGGCAACCCCATCAGTAACAAAATGGTTGCATTTTTAACAGTGATTTTTTTTTTTTTAATCAATATGATTCTTGAACTTTCTTCTGCAGTGTTGCTAAGAAACACAGATGATTGGCACTTCCTTACCACCACTTCAGAGCTGTTCTCAGCTGCTTTCTTGGAGGAAGCAAGCCCTGACCAGGAGCTCAGAAATGGCCTTCCCATATGACAGAGTTTCATTCTGGCACTCAAGCAGTCACACTTAAGGCTCCGTTCCCAGAAGAGGTTACATGAGCTGGAGCACACCCCAAGGGTGGTTGCCAAAAATCACCTCTTCTGTGAACTGGGTTGTGAATTGCATCTGTAAAAGCATAATGCTGGAAAATCTGCACCTACCATTGGCCCTGGTCAGATTTTACCAGCAAGGGGCAGGAGCAGATCTTGTGGCAGCACAGAAGGTCAGGAAAGAGGGATTCCTCACTACAGCAGCGCCCCTCAGGAGAGATGCTGGGACACCTGCAGCTGGATGCTCTGCCCAAGTTTGAAACCTGGCTCCCTCCTTTGTTTTCAGGAAAACCATCTTGTTGGTTTTTCCCTTTGGGCATCTACGCAGCATTACCTAAAGGTCATGATGGAGCACACCTACATCAGAGAGAGAAATGCGAACAGTGTAGCCAGCTCCTGTAGCAGAATTGCAGATGCCAACACACCAGGCCTATGGGAGCTTTTCAATACAGACCTCAAGGTGGAGGCCACGGCTCTAGGCCAGCTCTGGTGCCAAGAAAAAAATCAGCAACTAGGAGCAGAGGCTCAAAAATGTTTCCGTGTTCCTTGTTTATAAATGACACCAGTCTCGTTACCAGCATGCAGAATTAAGCCCAAAATATTCAAGCCTCTAGCTGTGTTAGTTAAGGCAGAGTGAAAAGCATTTTTGTATTAACAGATTCAGGCTTTCAGACTAATTGCAGGGTTAGAGCTGTCTTGGAAAACTGCATCTCCTCTTCCTTTATGAAAGGCCGAGCAAGCTGACATTGGCGCTACACAAGGAGACTCGCAAAATCCGAGGGTCAGAAGCAGCTTGCTGATCATTCATGAAGAAATCCAGCACCCCTGTCTTTTAAGAGGCAAATCCATCAATATGTGAGAGCTGCAGTCAGAACCAACTGAAAGCAGTTCTCGGAACAGCTCACAATAAATGCCCTATGGTTTAATAAACCAAACTGAGCGCATTTCTGGAAAGATGAACATTAGCAAGAGCTGCTACAGGGGGACAAAGGAAAGGGTTTGATTTATTTCGTGCCTCACATCACACTGCAGTTTATGAACACTACTTGACATGGGACCAGCAAGTCTTTATGGTAGTCCCTGTGTAAAGAGTGAGAATGCAAATAACTCAAGTTTGGTTATGCAGATAACATCAGCTGAGTTTGAGGCTGGGACAGAGCAGGGTTCATACCTTTGGACAGCAGAAAGGCTTTTAAGTTTTCCACTAGGGCCCCTGGTGGTGATTATACTGTGTCATTTAAATGCAGCACTGCATTAACAGGCACAAATAACAAAATAAAACAATTAACTCCACAGTGGTGCCCCCTAAAAATGGAAAAACTACACAGGGCAGCACAAATCCCTTCTGTGCAAACGTGTGAGTCATGGTCCCCGCTGTGTCCTGAAAGGGCAGGGGTAGGATCTGCCACATGGGAAAGGCACGGTAGAGAACACAGTCTGCAAAGTCTCTGGGTAACGCTGTGGTAAAGGCGAGGGGTACGTCACAGAGCTGCTTGGCTGGGGCTCCCCTGGGATGTGCTTCATGACTCAGATACTTCCTGGCTCCCAGCTATGAGCTGGATTGGTCTGACTTTGGAATTTAACACAAATATTTGATTTGTCTGTGATGAATACACGTGTCCAGGAGTTTGCAAAACCATCAAACTGGTCCCCAAAAAGGCAAAATTCCATTTGAATTTTGCATCTATGCATCCCCTTTGGTAGCAATAGACTTTATAGCTGCTGGTGAATTATTATTATTACTCTAAAACAGGAGCTTCAGGGGAGGGAAATTAAAGTATCTTGTGAAAAATACATTCGATAAGCAAAACCTGTTTTGTTTCGGTTTTTTAAATTCACTTGCAGGCATGGTACTTGGGATTTCACTAGCATTTCTCCATTTTCAATTGCTCAAAAAGAAAACCTGCTTTAGTGAAAGTTATTTGTTCCTTCAGAGAAATTGGGGAACTACCCCCGTGCTGTCTGTGCAGACAACCAGGGTGGGAGCTGATGGGACAATCTGAGCTTTTCCTGTGGGGAGTTAAACTTCTCCTTGGCTTGGCTTCAAGATGCACAGCTGTGCCCTCAAACTGGTACATGCCTGCCCTTTATGCTGTGGGCTCCAATATTCCTCCTTATACATATGCAAGGAATTTGGGATTAGGAATAACAGAGATCTCAGTCACTTGCCCTTTCTTTAGGTTTCTTGCTCTTGAAGTGGCTATATTTCTCACCTCCCATCCCCAGATTCATTTTCACCTGGCTTTTTGAAGCAGCACACCTATAAATAATCACCAATTAAAAAGTTAACAAATAACACCCAGGGTTAAGAATATAGAAGAGAGCTAGGCAGTGTTTGTACTCAGGTCAGAGATTAAAGTTGTTTCAGAAACAAGAAATTAACTGACATATCTCTGCAGATTATTTGAATGCAAATTATTTGCATTTGTCTATGATTCACTTACTGGTATATATGTAAATAGTCAAGTATTTGTATATGTGGTCCCTACAGAGGAAGCATGCATGGTGGCCAGAGCACAGGATTAGCGACCAGGACTGCAGGCGTCTGTTCCCAGCTCTGCCACTGACTCACCTGTGACCTTGGGCAAGTCACTCAACCTCTCTAATGCCTCAGTTTCCCCATCTGTAAAATAGGGATAATAATACTTACCTACCTCGCAGGGGGGTTAGTTCATTATTTATAAGCACTTTCAGATCTTCAAATTAAAGGCGCTATATACAGTAAGTAGTTAATATACATAGGCAGTAGTATGTACTTTTATTTTCTTACAATTAATTCAGGTTAGGATTTAACTGTATGTCCATTACAATAGTTTTCCATGTAGAAAACTAGCATGGTTTCCCACGAGGGGAATTTAGGGGACTTCTGCAGTAGATAGAGAGCAGGAGCAGCATACCCTGGAAGCCTAAACTCTTAACACCCTTGCTTTTGTGATTTATGTCTCACTCTTAATGTTACCTTACTGTATTTGTGTTTCATCCTTTTTCTGATGGTACATATAACAAAATTTTTAGCAGAAGCAGCCACTGTAAATATTAAGAGTATTTAAATAAATATATTAATGTAAATATAAAACCTTACCTTTTAAAGAGGTTAAAATTGGTTGATGCAACAGACTTCTAAGCATGGGAAGGTTCCACAGGCAGCACAACAGCAGGATACTGGAGTAGGGCTAAGAAAATTTCACCGCATGTCATTGCCTCCTCAGTACTCACTTTTCACCCCATCACTGGCCAAGGGGATGCAGGTGCCAAGGTGTCACGGGAGGGTGCAGGATGCACCGAGGCTGAAGCAACACCACCCGTTTGACTCCAAGGAGCAGGATAAGCAGGCATCGCCTCAGGCCGTGGTGCACACCCAATGCAATGGCTGCTGCAGGAGGGTGGCTCTTCGCCCTGATTTCTCTGTAGGTACAATCTGGTTTTCTTTAGTGCTTACTCAGGATAAAGGTTTTGGTTTGAGTTACAGGAGCAATAAGATTTAAGTTGCATGCCAAGGGCATGATGAGGTTTCTGAGCTCCCTTCCAGAAATGTGAGCAGTTGCAGCTTATCTGCACCAGCTGTT